TATCCGTCCTTATCCGTCCACGGGGCGTCTATAAGCAGGGCTTGGATCACACCTGCCTGTGCCTCATGTGTTCAGCCCTGTGCGTGACTGCCACCGGGTTTATATACCTGGCCGCTCATGCCTCATGCCTGATGCTTCATGGGACTGGTGGCGACAGTTTTACGGATCGCCGGCCCAGAGGGAACGGCGAGCTATAGTTGTGTTGTGCGTAAGACGTCACTCCGCTGGCCCACCCAGGAGCCCACGAAAATAGCGACAGTTTCGCAGATCGCAGCCCCCCAGGGGGCGGCGAACTATAGTTGTGATCCGCGTAAGAATCCGCTGGCCCTCCCAGAAGCCCACGAAAGTGGCGACAGTTTCGCAGATCGCCCCCCCCCCCCCCCCCCCCCCCCCCCCCCCACCACACACACACACACCACACACACACCACACACACACACACACACACACACACACACACACACACACACACACACACACACACACACACACACACACACACACACACACACACACACACACACACACACACACACACACACACACCACACACACACACACACACACACACACACACACACACACACACACACACACACACACACACACACACACACACACACACACACACACACACACACACACACACACACACACACACACACACACACACACACACACACACACACACACACACACACACACACACACACACACACACACACACACACACACACACACACACACACACACACACACACACACACACACACACACACACACACACACACACACCACACACACACACACACACACACACACACACACACACACACACACACACACACACACACACACACACACACACACACACACACACACACACACATCGGGGGTCGGCGAGGTCTCGTCGTGATCCGCGTAAGACGTCACTCCGCTGGCCTTTCCAGAACCCCACGAAAATGGCGACAGTTTCCCGATCGCAGCCACCCAGGGGAAGGACGGCGAAGTCTCGCGGTGATCCGCGTAAGACGTCAGTCCGCTGGCCCTCCCAGAAGCTCACGACAGTGGCGACAGTCTCCCTGATCCGCTCCTCAGGGGACGGCGAGGTCCCATGGTGATCCGCGGAAGACGTTACTCCGCTGGCCCTCCCAGAAGCTCACGACAGTGGCGACAGTTTCGCAGACCGCCGCCCCCCAGGGGCCGGCGAGGTTTCGTGGTGATCCGAGTAAGACGTCACTCCGCTGGCCCTCCCAGAAGCCTACGAAAGTGGCGACGGTTTCGAAGATCGCAGCCCCCCAGGGTGCGGCGAGGTCTCGCGGTGATCCGCGTAAAACGTGATTCCGCTGGCCCTCCCAGACGCCCACGAAATTGGCGACAGATTCGCAGATCGCAGCCCCCACGGGGCGGCGGGGTCTCGCGGTGATCCGCGTAGGAAGTCATTCCGCTGGCCCTCCCAGAAGCCCACGACAGTGGCGACAGTTTTGCAGATCACAGCCACCCGCGGGGCGGCGAGGTTTCGTGGTGATCCGCGTAGGACGTCCTTCCGCTGGCAACTAAGATGGCCCTCCCAGAAGCCCACGACAGCGGCGACTGTTTCGCAGGTCGCAGCCCCCCAATGGACGGCGAGGTCTCATGGTGATCCGCGTAAGACGTCACCCCGCTGGCAATCCCAACCAACGAAAGTGGCGGCAGTTTAGCAGATCGCACCCCTCCCGTGTGCGGCGAGGTCTCGTGGTGATCCGCGTAAGACGTCACTCCGCTGGCCCTCCCAGAAGCCCACGGAAGTAGCGACAGTTTCGCAGATCGCAGTCCCCCAGGGTGCGGCGAGGTTTCGTGGTGTTCCGCGCAAAACGTCACTCTGGTGGCCCTCCCAGAAGTCCACGAAAGTAGCGACAAAAGTAGCGACAGTTTCGCAGATCGCAGCCTCCCACGGGGCGGCGGGGTCTCGTGGTGATCCGCGGAGGACGTCACTCCGCCGGTCCTCCCAGGACGCCACGAGCGTGGCGAAAGTTTCGCAGATCGCAGCCCCCGACGAGGCGGCGAGGTCTCGTGGTGATCCGGCGGCGATCTCGCGGTGATCCGCGTAGGACGTCACCCCGCTGGCTCCCCCAGAAGCCGACGAAAGTGGAGGCGATGTCTCGTGGTGATCCGCGCAAGACGTACCTCCGCTGAACCTCCCAGGAGCCCACGAAAGTTGCGACAGCTTCGCAGACCGCCGTCTCCCAGGGTGCGGCGAGGTCTCGTGGTGATCCGCGTAGGACATTTCTCAGCTGGGCTTCCCAGGAGCCCACGAAAGTGGCGACAGTTTCGCTGATCACAGCCCCCCAGGGACGGCGAGGGCCCGGCTAGGTTTCATGGTGTTCCCCGCAAGACGTCATTCAGTTGGGATTCCCAGGAGCCCACAAGAGTGGCGACGGTTTCGCAGATCCCAGCCCCCAGGGACGGCGAGGTTTCATGGTGATCCCCGTAGGACGTCGCGCTGCTGGGCCCCCCAGGGGCCCACGAAAGTGGCGACAGTTTCGCAGATCGCAGCCCCTCAGGGGCGGCAAGATCTCGCAGTGATCCCCGTAGGATGTCACTCTGCTGGGCTGGGCCTCACAGGAGCCCACGAAATTGGCGAGAGTTTCGCAGATCGCAGCCCCACAGGGACGGCGAGGTCTCATGGTGATCCCAATAGGACGTCACTTTGCTTGGCCTCCCAGGGGCCCACGAAAGTGGCGACACTTGCACAGTTCGCAGCCCCACAGGGAGCCGCAAGGTCTCATAGTCATCTGCGTAAGACGTCACCCTGCTGGGCCTCCCAAGAGCCCACGAAGAGGGGTAGGAGATGTAAGACAACATTGCGAGGGAGAGGGGTAGGAGACAGAAGGGAAGTAGGAGAGGAGGAGGGGGAGGAGGACGGGAGGAGGAGGAGGAGGTGGAGACCACAGTGATGTATTCAAGACGAGTACCCAACGCAAGGAGGGTTGGTATAAAGCAGGAGGCAAACCAGGAAGCACGAGGAGGAGAGGAGGGAGGAGGAGGTGGGAGGACGGACCAAGCAGTGCTCTATTCAAAACGAATACCCAACACAAGGAGGGCTGGGAAAAAACCCAAGCGAAAACCCAACTCCCGGGAATCCTGTGCGTAAAAGGTACGCGGAGGGGGGCCGGATATCTTCCGGATGTGATCAGGGGAGAGAGGAGAGCAGTATTCGTATTGTGTAATTGTTAAGCCCCCCCCCCCTTTTGGAACGGGGGCGGAGGGGTAGCTTCTGGGGCGCGAAAGGGAAGGGAGGGGTAGCTTCCGAGGGGCGAGAAGAAAGGAGGGGGGGGGCTTCCGGCAGGCGAGGTCCAATGGGGTGGTGGTAAGCTAAGGGCCCCCCACCCCCTTTGGGGGTGCGCCACGGGTGCGCTCTCTCAAAGTCACTGGGCTTCCCGGGGGCATGCACCTGCACGCCCTTTACCTTATAAGCATGGCACTTTCGGGCAATAGCTGGTGCACATTTGGCAGCATTCCTTCTACGCGGCCCCCCTGGCTCACAGTTTTCTGGTCCACGCCGTCCCCGTTCACCGCCCCATGCCCTCGAGCTCGAGGGTCTCTGCTCCAAGCTCGGAGCTTGGAGGGCCTGACCACCCTGTTTGGGGATCCTTCTCTGTATTTGTCTGGGGAGCCAGTATCTTGAGCCCAGTGGGAGGCTCGGGCGCCAGTTCGGCGTAGTAAACTGTATCTGTCCGAAATGGACTTCACTATGTTGTGCTCTAGTGTATTTCTGTTCTACTCAACTTCTACTCCTGCTCTACTTACGCAGGACGAAAGATTTTCCTCTTGAGATGAAAATGGCCATGAGGAATTCGCGACCAGACGAGCTGTTTGCAGCAACTGGAAGGGATGTATGTATGTATTCATGTTAATGGAGCCCGCTCGCGCGGGGAGTTGATGGGAGTGCGCGAGACGACGCAGGGCCCATCGTGGAAAATTGATTACCGAACCCCCCTCCCCATAGAATCTTACCACGGGCGGTTTGCGGGGTCCGCGGATCCGATTTCTTCCGGCTCCCTGGTTTAATCTAACAATACAAATTTAAAACAGGGTAGAAATCGGATCCGCCGTAAACAATAAGACCGGACACGGACCCAGCTAATCCGAAATCGGATCCGTACGGACGGAAATCGGATCCACCGAAACAAACACCAAAACCACATTTGGATCCGCGCGAGCTTCATGAGATCCGACGGCGGTTATCTCATACAGGTTCTGCTCAAGACTTCACACCGTCTTTCCAGGCCCAAGAGGAAACAACTTTCGTCCTGGGGATGTATTATAGCGCGATGTATTATATCCTGCCCCACTCTAGCGGACGAAGCCATGCGGATAGCAGAGGAAGCCAGGCGCATTGTTCGGACGAAGCCATGCGGATAGCAGAGGATGCCCTGCGGATAGTTAAGCGGACCCTAACCTACTCTACTCTACATTACTACCACGTCTACCTATTCTACTCTACCCCTACTCTACTTTACTCTACTCCTACTCTACTTTACCCCTTAATGTACTCTCCTCTACTCTGCTCCTTAACTTCCTATCGCAGACGAAGCTATGCGGATAGCAAAGGAAGCCAGGCATATAGTTTGGACAGCCATGCGGAGAGCAGAGGGAGCCATGCGGATAGTTGGACTAATGTGAAGGCAAAGTAGCGGGGTCGGAGCAGTGGACCCGTTCTCTATGGAGTAAGCCAGGACACCTATAGGCAAGCCGGTTTGGAGAATAGCACTGTTTGAAAGATGGTGTGAAAACAATACGCGCAGAGGGCCGGGCATCTTCCGGACAGAGTCAGGGGAGAGAGGAGAGGAGTGCCCATCATCATGTGCAATTGTGGGGGTAGGAGGATTGGAGGAGGGAGAAGTGTGAGCGAGAGGGCAAGGAGGGCTGGGGAGCCAGAACAGGCGAGGGAGGAAGGGAGAGTGGGAAAGAGGTCGAAGCAAGCTCTACTAGAGTCCCCTCTTTGAGCCGGCCGCGAGAACCAGAAGGCTATCCACTACGCCATTGCCCATTGCGGCGTTGCCTGCTTTCTGCTGGTGATCAGCCTGTTCACCCCCCGATGGCGAGTTGATGATGTTGGCGCCCAGCACATAGCCAACACATGGCAATGGCTTGACGGCTTAACTTTCGAGTCCAGGCGTCGAAGAAGGACTAATTGCATAAACACAAGCATTCGGAGGTCCGTGCGGACCTCCGAAAGCTTATCTTTATGCCGTTTCGTGCTTCCTCTAAGGGAGTACGGCGTCATCTTTGTGAAGGGCACGGTGACGCACTCTTGGATGTCCTTAGCGCAGAACGCCTGCGACTTCCAGACCCACAGCTACATCACCGGCTGGGCCAGTGCGACAGTCTCCTCGCTGTCTAACGACTGCAAGGAGGGAGATGACAAGTGCAGTGGAGGCTGGTTCTACCACATTTCCGAGCGGTGCCGTGTGTACCGCAGCGTTAGGAGCCGGGCGAGGAGGGAGGGGTGGGGTGAGGGGGATGGGCAGGGGAGGGGAGGGGGGCAGGGAATTGGGATGGGGAGGGCGGGGACGAGGAGCTAATCGGAGTCCCTCCCCTCCACGCATCTTCCAGTGGAGGGATGAATGAGGAGGAGGAAGGACGTCCAAAACATCTTGGTGGCCATCCAAAGGCGATTCTATTCGATCCCTGTGGCGGACGTGTTGTCCGGACGTCCCCTTTTTCACCCCGATTCTTTCTCCTCCCTTTTCTCATCCCCAACTCCTCATCACCTTCATCCCTCCCTTCCCTTTCTTCCTCATCCTTCCGTCTTTGAGTTCTTCCCTCCATTTACTTATCCTCTCCTCCATCCATCCGCTCCCCCCTCCTCGATCTCCTCCCCCTCCTCACTTGATCTTTATATGCTCATCTTTGGAACTAGCAGAGCAGGAGTGGGCCGTCCGTGCCCTTCCTGGCTCAAGCTCATCGTGCGGCCTATCCCCAGTGGTCTCGGACGGGATGGCCTGGCTGGCTGCTTGAGCGGTCCGCTCGGGCGTGGCCCGCGCCTGGCGGCTGGAGGTGGCGCCCCGCCCGCGCTGCCCCGACTCGTACTGCTCGGGGGGACGCCGCCTGCCCCTCCTTGCAGTGCCCCGCGGCGCCTTCGGCGCACTGCCAGCAGCTCAGCGGTGCCCAGCAGCGCGGGAGCCCACCGCCCCGGCCGCGGCCCACGCGGGCCGGGCGGAGCACCGCACGCCACCGCCCGCGCAGGAGGCGCCGGCAGCTTCGTCCGAGCCCTCCGTCGCGGGCGCCGCGCTGGCGCGGGCCAGAGACTGGCTGGAGTACCCTCGGCTGGGCGGCGGGGCTGCTACTGGAACCTCCTGGGCGGGGTGTTCGTGCACGCGGTGCTGGTGGTGCTGGGCTTCGGGGCGCGCGCCTGCTGGCAGCTGGTGCTGGGGCAGGCCGCCCGTCGTCCGCGGCTCGCTCTTCGAGATGGCGTAGCCGCGTAGCCGTCGGTGCAGGAGTGGGCCTGGGTCCAGTACGAGGGAACAGCGTTGTTCCACCAGCGGCAGGTGCTGGGAGTCTTGGCGGGTACTCCAGCGGCAGCGATTGAGGTCGTCGCCGCGACGCCCGATGGCGACGTGTGCTGCGGCTCGGGCCCCAACATCGCGGCCGTGCGTTGGAGCGACGTTCGTCGGCCGCCTCCTCCGGGCGTGCCGAGGAACTCCTACCGCTTCCGCCGCCGCGGTCCGACGTCCGCGGAGCAGCAGGAGTTCCAAAGGTTGGCGAGGATCGCGGCCCGCGACAAGTATGTGGCAAGGGACTGCCAGAACTGCCTGGGCTGGAACCCGCGGGGGCCGCGCTGCTGCCCTTGCTGGCGGGCTCCGCGCGGAGGCCGCTCGCCGCCCCCAGGTTCCTTGGGCAGGACGATGGCGGCCTTCGCCCCGTCGTAGGCGTTGAATTTTTCGGGGCGGCAGCCCGCCCAGGGGCGGCCGCGGGAGCCGCGGGAGCCGCTGCCGCCGCCGTCGGCGCTGGGCCCGCCGGAGGCGCCGCCGCGCCCACCGTTGCCCCGCCGCGCGCCGAGGAGCTGGCGTGGGTCGTCGCCGAGACTCGTCACGGGCTCGCCCGCGGCACGGTGGTCTTCCCGGAGGCGGGGATGCCGAGCTTCGGCGACGCGGGGCTCTACCAGGTGCTGGGGGCCACCCCTGGTCCGCGCGGACCTGCGGCGGTGCCGATGAGACGGATGTTGCACCCTGCGCTGGACACCGTCGTGCGCAGCGAGAGCGTCGCGCGCGCGAGGGCCATGCCAATCGAGATCGTGGGCGAGCGTCGTCAGAGGCGACCTTGACGGCCGGTGGCGGAGCAGGGCGCGGTCGCGCCCTGCCTCGACTGGCCCGCGTAGGGGCCCAGGGCCGTCGAGCGGGTGATGAGGTTTCTCGATCGTCGGGGAGGCCAGCCTGGAGGTCACCATGCCTGGTGGCGACAGGTCAACCGATTCCGGCGTGGCGACTGGGGTTAACGAGAACGAGCTGCGGGCGCTGGAGATGGCGGGGAGCTACGACGCGCTCGAGTGCGCGAACTGCGCCTGCCTGGAGATCACCGCAAGGGGTTGCCAGCGCGTGAAATAACTGCGCCTACTTGCGCTGGCCGCTCGGGCAGAGCGGCGGCGGCGACGTCGAGGGTGGCGGCAGCGAGTGCGGGGGGGAACCGAGGCAGGGGGCGCGGATGCGCTGGTCTCCTCGACAAGAACGACGCGTTCATGGGCCGGCGCCGGGAAGCGGGGGAAGCGATGGCGATTCACAACGCGTTCGATTTCGTCGCTCGCGAGGTCGAGAGAGATGCGAGCGCGTTGACACAAGCGCTTCAGGTGCGGGAAGAAGGCCACGCCCTGGGCAACGACGCTCGATGGACACCCGCCAGGTCTCGGGCCTGGGCCTGGCGGGCGTCACAGGGCCGAATTCGCTCGCGACGGAGGAGCTCCCCACCTTCGACAGCGAGACTTTTTCCCATTACCTCTTCTGGCGGAGGTCGGTCATCGCGCTCGGCCCTCGCCTCGCGTGCCTCGCGCGTCGCAACGACGAGTCCATCGGCAGGCCGCTGTGGGCGCTGCCGCTGGCGAGCTGGTTGGCAGGCACCCTGAACGACTTGCGCGGGGCGCCCCGCAGCGGGCCCCCCCTGCTCGGCGTCGAGGCCGACGATGGCGCAAAGACTCGCCCTGGGCCATCGCGTGGCTGCAAGAAGAATGTGCCGCGGTTCCAGCGGTGCAAGGCGCGCCACAGTATGCTTCCGCAGCGCCATGGCAATGGCCGCCTTCAGGGCGATGCCCCTTCTGGCGTTACTGGGGGGGGGGCAACGAGCGCCGCCGCGGCGATGGAGGCAAGGGCGCTGGCAAGGGCTAGGGGCAATCACCCGGCGCCCCCCGCCCACGGCACCGCGCGCGATTGCCCGGAGGCCCTCCCTGGGCATGTCCGAGGTGCCGGGGCCTCCCAGGCGCAGATGGCATTCTTTCTGCCTCGTCAGCCTCGCCGTCGGCGGTCGAGCGGGCGGCCCCCGACAAACGAGATGCCGGCGCACAGGCCGCAGTCGCTCAGATCGCCGAGGGCGTCGAGCATCGCGAGCAGGGTGGCGAAGAGCTGGCGGTCAAACCGGCTCGGATCCATGCGGAGATTGAGCAGCTTCACATATCGAAATCTCTCAGCCGAAAATGTTCCTCCTCCTGAATCAGGATAGTCGGCTCGAATCAATTTTGACATCGCAAAGTTCAATGACACTCTCGCCGCGATGGGCACATTCCTCAAGGGGGCTGCTTCTGCTGTTGAGAAGAAGAGCCTCGAGGCGCTCAAGGGGGAGATGGATGCCACGCAGGCTGCCTTCAAGAAGGGGCAGGAAGCTGTTCGAGAGCTGGGGGAGGCGACCAAGTCGCCATCTTCGGGGGCAGGTTCAGGATCAAGTGCTGGCAGCAATCGCACAGTCAAGTTTAACGACGACCTCTACAACATCCATGGCGGTGCCTCGCCCTCCCCTGACGAGAAGATGAGGAAGCTGGAGATGCTCGAGTCCGTCGCAGACAGCGTTTGCAAATAGCAGCATGTGCGCCCATAGGGAGGGGGCCAGTCCTCCCATCGAGGACTCCTTAGGATAGGAATCCCCAGCAAATCCTTTGGAGTCCTTCTGGAATCTTCAGGGATCCTAGGGAATCCTTCGGTAATCCTTCGGAATCTTATGGAAATCTTAAGAGGGAATCCTGAGGCATCCATCGGGGATCCCTGGGAATCCCAAGGGAGTCCAAAGGGATCTGTTGGGGATCCCCAGGAATCCATAGGGGATCCTTCGGAATGTTTTGGGGATCCTTAGGAATCCCTGGTGGATCCTTTGGAATCGTTTTGGGGAATGCTTAGGAATCCCATGCCTTCCTTGCTGCTCGCCAAGCGAAGAATCATTGACGTTGCGCGCCATCCCTAATTCAAATTTACTTGTCATGCTTAAGCAGCAGGGCCGCGCACGCCAATAATAATATTTCAAAGATTGTATTCTTCGTCGGCAAATTCAAGGTTACCTTGTGGTTTCAAGCCTCACGCTGGCCGTATAGTAATAAGAATCATGCATTTAGTATTGTTCCACAGCATATTGAAATTCTGGGGGCAACTCCAGGGTGACCCAGGGTGACCCTGGCATTTCATCGCCGCGTAATCTCAATCTCCCCACCAGAACACGACCCCCGAGGACGCTGTCGTTCGCGACCATGGCGATCACTTTCGTTTCAATCATGCTCGTCACTGTGGGTTGCTTCCTTGCCTGCATGTCTTCGCAAAAGCAGATGGGGGGCATCATTTGTGGCCTCTTCCTCACCTCTGGTCTGCTCTGCTTTCTGCTGAACTTGATTTGGGCCAGTGTATCCGATGCTGGATTCAAGGATCTGGGCGAGAGCGCTTACTACCCATACCCTTCTCTGGGCATTGCATATTTTCTGCATCTCTACGGTTCCGTCATGCTCATCGTGGCTTCGGGCGTGTACGGATGGATCATCTACCCGGTAGTCATGAATTACGACGAGAAGGAGGTCAAGATGAACAAGAAAATCGCGAGGATGGAGAAGCGTGCGGAGCACAGAGCACGCGCCCAGGAACAGCAAATGCAGGTGCAGCAGCAGTGCATGGTCCAGCAGATGTATCCGCAGCCTCAGCCCATGGGCAACATGGCGATGCCGATGCAGATGGCCCCCCAGATCCAGATGTCAGGGGTGCCGGGTGATTGGAAATCCAGGAGGGTGCAGACATGGAGGTCCGAGGAGTTGTAAGAAACTCTCCGGTATCGAAGACGCCTACGGCGAACCACCGCCGCCCCTTGCCTTCTGGAAACGCCCATGCGGCCAAACGACGGGCCGAAGTCTGACCAAGCTATTGGACTATGTGTTCCCCCAGCCGTTGTGGACCCCCTTGGGGGAACACTTCAAAGGCAGAGAATGGAAGAGGAGAAGGAGGACGAGGAGAAGGAGGAGGAGGATGACGAGGATGAGGAGGAGGAGGAGGAGGAGGAGGAAAACGAAACCTCTTGATGCCCTCTTGGAGCTTACTGGGGTACTCCTGGAAGCCTCTTGGGGGGCTCTTGGGGGCCTCCAAGGGCCTCTTGGGGACCTCTTGGCCTTCAGAGGCCGTCCTGGGGCCCTCTCTGGGCAGTCGTGGGTCCTTCTTTGGGCGCCACAGGGCCGTCTTGGAGGTCCATGGGGCAGTTTGGGGGCCCTCTTGTGCCGCCTCGGGGCGGTCTTGGGGGCCTATTGACTATGGGGCCGCTTTGTAGCGTCGGAAGGCCGACAAGGCGAGAACACTAACATTGCTTGCAGCAGCTAAAGGAACCTTAATGCTTAAGACCTCCTGGAGGTTCTCTTGAAGCCCTTTTGTGGCGTCTTGGAGGCCATCTTGAATGTCGGTGAATATCTTGGGCCGTTCGGAGGACATCTTGGCCGCCTTGGAGGCGTCTTGGGACCGGCTTGGAGACCGTCTTCGAGTCCATCTTGGAGACCATCTTTAGCGTCTAGGGGGCGGATGAAGCACCTTTGTGGTTTTCTGGGGCTTTCCGCGTGGCCAGCGGGTTGTGCTGGAGGCCATTGGAAACAATTTGTCTTGAAAACCGCCAACCAATTACACGCCAGCAGCCCTTGTGATCAATCAACAGGCGGATCGAAGACGCCTACGGCGAATCAACACCGTCCCCTGCTTTTAGAACTGCCCATGCGGCAAAACGTTGGGCCGAAGTCTGGACAAGCTATTGGACAATGTGCTTCCCCAACCGTTGTGGAACCACTTGGGGAAACACTTGGGAGAGGACGAGACGTGAGGAGGAGGAGAGGGAGTATGATGATGATGAGGAGGAGGAGGAAAGAATAAGAAGAAGAAGAAGAAGAAGAAGAAGAAGAAACATAAGAAAACGAAGACACAGAAAAGGAGGCCTCTTAAGGTCCTCTTGGGGCCTCCTGGGAGCCTCTTCGGGGTCTCTGAGGAAATCCTTGGGGGCCTCCTGGTGGCCTCCCGCTCTTTGGGCTCTGTAGGGCCGTCGTGGAGGTCTATGGGGTCGTCTTGGCGCCCTCTTGGGCCGTCTTGCGGACCTTTTGGGGGCCTCTTTGGCAGTCTCCGGGCGTCTTGGGGGCCTCTTTGGCCTCTTCGGGCGATCTTGGGGGCCTGTGGGGCCGTCATGGAGCGCGTCTGAAGCCTGAAATGGCGAGAACGTTAACATCATTGACAACGGTCTAAGGAAAACCATTGATTCATTTCGCTTCGCGGGGTGCACGTCCAGAGCACGTAACTCGGCGTTAGGTGGTTTGCCTTGCTCGTCTGCCGTGTCGTTCTGCCTGCTCCGCGGCGTTGCCAGTGCCGCGGGGGGTAGATGCGCCCCCTCCCCGCGTCAGTGCCAGGACGAGCGTGCGAATCTCCACGAGGGCAATGAGCATTCACCGCGTGTCAGCACAAGGCAACGCCGAGTTCAAATTCCGATGAGCATAGCTACAACGCGCCGTTCGTGTACAATTCCGCGGGTGCTTGGGTGGTTTTGTGAGAGCAGAGCAGAGAGCAGCGGCCCGTAGGAAGGCGGCGCAGGTTCCCCTCCCCGGCAGTGCGCCGGGCCGGAAAGTAGATCAGCGTGGCGTGGAACAAATATCCGTGGTGCGTGAAACAGATGAGACATAACAGGCGGCGCCCGGCAAGGATCAATCACACCAGCGTTTGCGTTGGGTTCCTACGCTTCGACGTGCGTGTGCTCGAAACCACGGCACCCACTTCATCAGTCGCGCGCCCCATCTCTCATCTTGCACTGCAGCAAGTTTGACGGCAGCCGACCATTTGCTTATCCAGAGGATGTCTGTCCAGTCCTGGGCCCCATGTCTCCTTGCGAGTGACTCGCACACGGCCGTTGCCCTGCGCACGTATTCCACGCATTGCTCGTCCGGCTGGCGTCCCACACCGACCATGTGTCACAGCATCTTCCTTTGCGCTGCGCGAGGGCGCCTCTCCTGCTCGACTGTCCAAATCCAAGCAGCACAGCCGTACACTGCGCAGGGCGCAACGGCGGTATGAAAGAGCCTCATGCGATCACGAACGCGTACGCGTCGATTGCATAGTATACTCTTCTGGCTGCAAAAAAAAGCCCATGCAGACGAGATGCGGTTGTTAAGCTCCACCCCGTGGTAGTCGTCCAGGGTGAACTTGCGGCCGAGGTACTTATCCGCCTCTCCTGTCGGCAACACTCGTACATCGTTGCCGGCGCATCGGATGGTTGCCGGCCTCGTTGCTGAGTTAGTTACATCCACGGTTTTGCCCATGTGCAGTTTCAGGCCGTACTTCTTCGCTTCGGTCTCAAGGTCCACGATCATGCGGCCCACGTCTCTCTTGTTGGAGGACAGCAGGAGCACGTCGTCGGCAAACCTCAAATTGCTCAGGGTGTTCGCAGCGTCGTCGACAACGATGCCATAGTATTCACCTGTTCGCCTGGCGTCGAGGTTGCCCCACCTCTTCTTGGCTCCATGACGACCACAAAGAGAAACGAGCTGATCGGGTCGCCTTTCTTGACGCCCTGGGACATGCTGAACGCGCGGCTTCGCACTCCAGCAGCAACAGAAGCTGATTGCACTGCGTACAGGCGTCTTAGTAGGTCAATGTACTCTAGCAGGACGTTATGTTTCTGTAATGCTGACCAGAGAGTGTCATGTTCCACTGTGTCGAAAGCCTTTTCGAAGTCCACCATGCCAACCCACAAATCGACATTGTAGTCCCTCGTGGCCTCATGCAGGAACGTTGTGCACATCAAATGATCCACGGTGCTGTACCCTGGGCGATATGCCGTCTGGTCAACGGATTGCTCCCGGATCACGTCCTTCCGCAGTCTGCTGCAAATCAGTCGATTGAACAACTTGTACAGGACGGCGAGGATCGCGATGGGCTTGTAGTTTGACGGAAGCGAGGCGTCCCCCTTTTTGTAGATGACGGAGATTCTGGCTGATAACCAGTCCGCTGGCAGGTCAGCACTAAGGCTTAGCAGCTGGTTGGAAGTTTCAAGGATGAATTCTCGCAAGATCAACGAGTCTACCTTGAAGAATTCTGCTCGCACGCCTTGATAGTCCGCCGTCTTGCCGTTCTTCATATCTCGAATTGCTGCGGCGAGCTCCTCTTGCGTGAACGGGGGGATCATGTTGCCAGATTGTCTGCCGTAGACGTGCTCTCTGCACCCTTGTCTGGTGCTCGCGTTGAGGTTCCCGAAGAAAGTCGCAGACACCTCGGCGATCCCTTCGCGCTCGTCCAGAAGCGTGCCGCCTGGGCCCTTCATCAAAATGATGTGATCGCGCTCGCGGTTCGCCCGCGTGCCCTTCAGGTTCTCCACTCCTTTGAAGTCGGCCAGAGTCGTCTTGATCTTGCTGAGCACGGTTTCATTGCGCCGCCGGCGTATCGAACTCTGTATGCGTTTGCCCCAGTCTTTGCGGATTTCTTTCTTGAGCAAAGCCGGGATATATGAGTATTGCGGACAGCGGCGTTCGGCAATCAAGGAATGGATCTTCTTGTCCAGATCGTTCATGTTGGCGCCAGCATGGCGCTTTTCAGCGTTTTTCTTGTCCTGTTTTGCGGCTAGGAGCATACTTCTGTTCAGCAAATCGATTCGTTCGTGCGGTTCGGCGCTCTGCCAATCAGCATGGCGAAGCCGTTCTTTTAGCAGCGCAATGTATGACGACCCAGGAGACCAACGATGATGACGCACTTTCCTGTCTGATTTTGTCCGGGATTCTTTGGGCACCGCCGGGTCCAAGCGAACTGGCCGATGATTAGAACCCACGTCGACAACAGCGGAAACAGCGCAGGAATACATTATAGCCACTGTTTTTTTTGCGCAAGAATGTAATCGAGCTGACACTTGCGGTCGGCGTTCTTGAAGCTCCAAGCGTCCTCGAATGTAGCGTTGTAGAATGTGTTAGCGATGGCGTAGCCGCGAAGAGCTGACCGATTCACCGGCCTCGCGCCCTTGTCGCTTCTCTGCGGCATACGATACTGACCGACGACCTCCATGTCATCGTATTCCGTGTATGGTCCCACTTCAGCGTTGAAGTTTCCAGCGAAGATCACGTGGAATCCCTTCGTGCTTGCTGTCCTGTCCTGAGCCTCCATTTGAGCATATAATGCCTCCGCGTCTTCCTCGGGGAGCCTCGCGTGAGGCATGTAGACAGCCGCCGTGCGAAAGGGTTTTCTGGGGCCGCCTGGAGGCTTCTCTGGGGCCTGTTGGGGGCCTCTTGGGGGCTTCTTGGGGCCCCCTTTGGGGCCCTTGAGGAGGCTTTTTGGGGGCCTCATTGGCCGTCTAGCCCCTTTGGTGGCCGTTTTGGAGGCCTTCCTTGACCGCCTTGTGGCTTTCTTGGGGTCCTGAATATGATTAAGTGGTTTTCGGAATAATTCCATTACTCGAGTCTCAAAGCATGACCCTGTCTCTATGGCGAGCCTTGGCGGCTTCGCCTTGGTAAGGGGTGGAGTGCCCAGGCTAGTTTTTCAACGCTAGCGATATCTACAACAATAATATCGATGACAATCAGATGAGACGAGTGTTCTCTTTCGGCAAGCGAGGGTTCGCCGAAGCCCAAATCAACAGTTCAACGTCTGCCCTCGGGCGCTTGGCGCCCTTGGGCCACACGCAGCGGCCGTCGCCGGCCTTCACGCGACAGCGGTCTCAAAACTTGTCACTCAGGATCAGAGGGGTGCTGGAGGACGGATCCGT